GCTCGTCTGGCTCGGCCCTGCGCGGCCCGGACTGGAGAGACGGAGTGGGATGCAAAGGGGGGATCCCGAGAGGGGAGTGGTGGATGCACAATTGCTACGGAAGACTTTTCTTCGGAGCTGTTGCGGCTCGAGTCTCAGATCCCGGCTGTGAACAGGGTGGGTTGTCTTCTTCTTCCGAGATCTCAGGTCTGAGTGAGTCTCCGGTGTACGTGTATATATGTTACCCGTAACATACATCGTGTATTGCGTAGCCATTAACCTGTTCTCCCCCCCCTCCCCGAAAGTGGCCAAAGTCTTTAAGAGGAGTTACTCTCTATGTGGAAGCAAAGAAATCTTCTTTCAAGTGGAGCTGCAGTTTTGCTGAATAATCACGTGTGAGTTAGGGGCGGGCTCTTGGCAAGGAGGTTTTTTACGAGTATTTACTACAAGGTCTACTCCAGAAGATTAACCATCCCAATCCTTCTGTCAGTCTCCGATGCCATGCCTGGTTAGAAAAAAAAAAAAAAAAAAAAAAAAAAGGGGGGGGGGAAGAAAAAAAAAAAAAAATCTCATCTCTTTTCCCATCTTCAGTCACCCTAAAGAATGGCCGAGCCTTCTGGGAACGAGCTGGCGTCCGCGGCTGCCAAGGGGGACCTAGTGCAACTTACTAATTTGTTGCAAAAGAATGTAAACGTCAATGCACAAAATGGATTTGGGAGGACTGCGCTGCAGGTTGGTATCCAGAGAGGGAGAAAAGATTTCATCACTGGTACCTACGTGACCCGGGTTTCCAAAAAAGACAGCGTTTTCAGCAGGCTGGTGGATGAAATTCGAGTGGTTTTTCAAACTCGTTGGATGCCATATTTTATAACTTTAGCGGCTCCAACTCCCTAAAATGACGTACTTGAAATAGAACTGGTCAAAACCACTATTTCAATCGGGGATCACCCTCAATGTCAAACGGGCTGCGAGTTTGCTAATATTTTGTAACTTCGTGGGGAGGAGGCAAGGAATGAAAGAGCTGAGACGAAAAGAAATCAGCTTAGGTGAGCAGGATTTCATAGCAGGTCTGTAAACACAAATGTGCTGTGCTCTGAAGCTTAGGATTTTTCTATTTTTTCCCTTCTTTTCTTTTTTTTTCTTCTTTGTTTTCTGTGTGTCGTGTGTCCCCCCCCCACCCCCTCCTTGATTTCCTTCCTACAATGTGCTTTTAAATCGTGCCTGGTCTCGGTCCTGGGGTCTGCTGTCGATGGTACTTTTCCTTTAGACGCTGTTTGTGAGGAATGACCTTTCTCAGTGGGCAGCAGGCTGCTCAGAATCCAGGACCTTTGCTACACATGAAGAGTTAGCCCGGCGAGTTAGGGTGCCAGCTGAATCCCTTGCTTTTTCATTCAGAATTAAGGCTTAAATTTTTGCTTTTTTGGATCGGCTAGCAGGGCACCGGTTCCAGTTATTTCCTTTCTGATCGTATAGGGTGCTATGTCCTAATTTTCAACTCTGTGGCTGCGCAGGCAGGAGTTGGAACTCATCCAGCTGCGAACTATTGGAGCTGCTTAAAGATTTTGCTTTTAAGAATACCTGATAATGATGGCGAAAAGGCTACGATGCCTACCAAGGAGGGAAAAAAGTAATTTATAAATCTGGAGGGCAAAACATGTGTGTTTATTTGTACTTAAGGTATAAATAATGAAAGGTGGAAGTGGAGCTATAGGTCTTTTTCATTTCATAAATTCGAAAAATCGTTTGTTAACTGCTCTCCCTCCCCTGAAACCATTACAATAATTTCTGAAATTGGGGTTTTTTTTAATAGCATGTAGCTTGCGAATGTGCTCGAGGTATTAACAGCTTTTTTGGCTTCGCATCAAATTGTTAGAGCTGGAAAATAAGCACCTCTTGCTAAAAAGCAGGAATTACCCCCTTTTTCTATTATTTTTTTTCTACATTTTCGCTGAAGCTGGAGGTCTGGGAGCTCCTCTCTGTCCTGTTAGCACCTAAATAGGGCATCGCAGGGCAGGGCAGGCACTTGCAGCAACTTTTAAGAGAGTGAAAGGATTGAAATGAAGACATTTACACCAAGTAACTTCTTGAAGAAAGCAGGAAACATTTAGCCAGCTGGTTTATCCTGGGGACGAGGGCTGCAAACCGATTTGTCCTCTGGTAATAAGTTAGTGTTGTTTGGGTTTTTTTTTTTCTAAAAGCAGCTAACTGTCCGTATCCGGCATTAGGGCATATTTTACACAATGACAGAGCATCCAGCTATATTAAACAAGCACCCGTGTCCTAACAATACTTCTTATCGCTGCCTAATCATAACTGAGTTAATGAACCACAACAAAAATCAAAACAGGAGAATCTGTCTACTTATTTTCAATATGTATCATCCTGAAATGTGCTGTGGGTGCATGACCACGCTCGAAAGAGCTCTCTGTCAGTGCACTCTCCACAATGCAGATAATCTCTCCATAATCTCTCCCTCAATTAAAACGGAGAGAATGCTCCTACACTCATACCAGTGAATTTTTATTTTTCTTCTGCATTTATGTTCAATTAAACAACTGCTCAGCTTGTCTTGCTCTGTACTTTTTATTTCGGATGAAGTGTATCTATGCAGGCCTCAGATATATGTCCTGCCCTAATGCTCTTTGTCAGCCTTAATCAATTAATGCTTTTTCCTTCTTTGCCTGTCCCCCTCCCCGTGAAACTTTGCAAAATAAAGGGCATTTGCTGTACAGTTGTAGCTCACTTCCCAGTAGCATCATCTTTTATATTATTTTTCTCCCCCCTGCATCTTTAACTGAAGCCTTCAGTTCCCGAGCTTGAACACTGAAAACTTCCACTAGAAACCAAATACATATTTTGAATTCATAAATAATCCAGCCTGGGCACCCCAAAAGGGAGCAGAATGTCCAGATTTTACTAAAGAAAGAGAGATCACAATGCTCTGCTTTGCTTTTACATCGCTTCCATCTCCAGTCAGAAGTGAAAGAAATGACACACACGGAGCTGGAAGCCTTGAGGCACAGAGAAATCTCTTTCCCCGAATCCCAGCCTCTCTTATCTGCACTTTTGCTCTTGTCTGTATGTATAATATACCGGGCTACTTTACACACCAAACGCTGCAGTAGTTGTATTGATTATAGCTTGCTTTTTTCTTAAAAAGCCTGAGACATATTTTTCACCATGAGAGCTTCTCAGCAAATCCCTTGTAGAAATTGTATATTATGCTCAATCAAATACACTATAGTGCTCGTTTGTACAGATAATTTTTTAATCCATGATTTTCAAATCAGCGTGTGGGCATTTCTAAGAAAATTTTAAAGGTAATTTTTTTTCGAATTTGGCATGTACAGTGAGACTAACTGCAAGGACAGGAACCTATTGCCTATAGGCTGGAGTTTTTACACCACCATCTTAACTTTTTCGGAGGTCTTTGAGAAAGTAAAAAACAATGAGGGATTTGGGGAAAATTTGTGCAAGCTGTTAAATCCAAAATTACAGAGATTTGCTTTTCAGTTCTGATTGTTTCAGGATGCAATCAGGAAAATTAAAATAAGCTTTTTTTTTTTTTTTTTCTTTCTCTGAGACAAGCAATCAGAAAATCCAATTATTGATGTTGTTGTTGTTTAAAAAGGGATGTTTTTAACAATAGGATATAGGCACAGTTTGCTTGCAGTGAAATTATGGAAGTGTAATATAATATACTGGATTTAGAAGAAAAACTTGTGGGACTTTGAAACATCCCTTTTAACTTCTAATTCGTGGGTGACATGATGAAACACAAATATTGGGGTGAAAATTTTCTTATAACATTTATTTTTCTGAGCAGACAGAGCTATGGTAAGGTCCAAATATTTGTTTTATGATAATGCATAGACAATGTAAACACCTGAAAGCTTATAAAAACACAGTCTATATTCGCTGTTGCTGAGGTGAAATATCTGTCCCTCAGAGACCCTATATTCGATGTTTAACGAGATTAAGCAGTAATGCAAAGGTTATTCAATATTTAGGCAAATAAAACTGAACCAAACTTGATTTTTGTACATTAAGAAACTGAGATAACCCACGATAAAAATATACATATATAAATAAATAAATCCCTCATTCTACACCGCCTGTTTCAGACATTAATCTCTTGGAGACAGAAAGCTATCACCACAGAAATGATACAATCTTTCGCCATTTCACCGACTTTAGTAAGAAAATATATAAAAAATAGGCGTTCTGGTGTATCGTTAGTTTTCTAGTGGGGCTCTCCTGTTCGTTTTAAGTGAGGACTGAGCCGTGACAAAAGAAAAAAAAATAAGCCAGAGATAAGAATTAAGGATGAAAACCCAGTGCTAAAGCAAACACACACACCCCTGGGCATTCAACTCTTCTTTTTCTCTCATAGGTCATGAAACTGGGGAACCCCGAGATTGCCCGGAGGTTGCTCTTGAAGGGGGCGAACCCCAATCTGAAAGACAGTACTGGCTTCGCTGTAATTCATGATGTAGCCAGAGAGGGTTTTCTGGACACTTTGCAGACTCTGCTGGAGTTTGAAGCTGATGTTAACGTTGAGGATAACGAGGGCAACCTGCCCTTGCACTTGGCGGCCCGGGAGGGGCACGTACGGGTGGTGGAGCTGCTGCTGGAGCGCGGGCAGTGCAAGGTGGGCCACCAGAACAAGCGGGGGGCCACCGCCTACGACCTGGCCAAGCTCTACAAGAGGTCCGCCGTGGTGAAGCTCTTAGAGGACAGCAGCTTCTTCCCTGCAGACATGAATTAAAATCCAACCTGGACGTGCCCGCCTTCGGACATTGCGGCTTTCAGCCTTCTTCTCTCTTTCTTCCTCTTGGATAACATTTGTAGCTGCCTTCTTTTGACTTGTGGTCCTTTTTTGTTTGTTTTTTGTTGTCTTTTTTTTTTTTTTTTTTAAACATCTTCTAGTGTAAGTCTCAAGAAATTCTAGAGGTGGGGTTTTAGGTAACGGAAATGTTTTAAATCCACGCTCCCAGCGATTTCTTCCACCTGCCATTTACCGACTGCTCACAGACCCGGCCGTGTTATCTGTTCGTTGCTCATACCAAGTTTTCCAAGTATCGACTTTTGCCATTTCTTTTAGGCCATTAAGTAATGAATACCAGAGCCACATATTCACATGCTTAATGTTGCTGGACTCTTAAGAAAAGGAAAGAGCTGGCTGTGATGTCTCCCACCTCTCCATGCCAGCTCCCTCCCCCCCGCTGCCCCCGGCTCCTCTCCCCCTCCGGTCAGGCTTGAGAGTTCCAAGTCGGGTTTTGGCTTCAAACAGCCTTTTAAGGGGTAACCTACAACCCTCTGCTCAGGCAGAGCTTGAAGTCAAAGGCTGCTTGGCCTGAGGACAGAGGATGGCCCTTAGAGGCTTTGGGGAATAGCTGCATTTTCACACTAACAAGAACTTGTAGATCACTTACTTTCTAAATGTAGATGACACTTTTCCCCTTTGTGTATTTAAACTTTCACCAAGCTGGTTTTGAATTTAGTTACCAGAAACAGTGTAAGTGGTGTTTTTTTTTGGTTGCCAGAGGTTTTAAACAACTCAGTTGAGTAGTTCATGTTTACTGTGCAGTGAACAAGATGGGTTTTTTTCTAGTTTCAAAACAAGCAGCAGAGTCACTGTCAGGAGCAGGGGACACGGAGGCTGCCACACACCGAGTTTTCTGGTCGCTTCGGAAACTGAGGGATGTTTAGATGCTCTTTAAGGAATATTTGCTTTCCACCAACTCTTTCGTTTTGCCTGGGAATAAACTATTTTAATGCCACAGATGCATCTCACAGAACAGGAATATTTGAATACAGTGACACTTAGGAAGCAGCACGTTTGGTATTCGAGAACTCATGTTATTGCTCGCACCTAAAACACGATTGAAAAATTTCCATTGCGATTCAGCTGAGAGTATGAATCAGAGCAGAACTCCTTCACCTCTCCAGCTACAACAGGAGCTAACGAAGCTCAGCAGCACTTCTGAAAAATTTGAGTATTATACTTTTAACATATGTACAGGAACTAATTATTGGGCAGATGGGGAGTTTATTTTGAATAGTGTAAATTTTAATTGCGCAATATATAAGGTTTTAAATAATTGTAAAATGAAGAGTACTTAAAATAGCACCTAAAGGAGGAGGGGTGTACATTAGTTTAGATTTTTAACTCTTCAGAAAATATTTTAGCCCCACAGAATCAGTTACTACCGTTTTCGAGTAAAAAGTAATTTGCTGAAACTGTCTGCCAGGTTTCCTATAAACTCTGTCACACTGCTGTGTTTTCTGATTAAAAACCTCTGTGAAACATGAAGCTTTGCTCCTTTTTGTTACCATTTTTTTATTCACAAGGGATCTAGAGGTCATTCATCCCAGCAGCACGGCATGCAGGGTGCATGATCGGGGAAATAACCCACCAAACACGCGGGATAACGAGCACTAAAGCCACCTGAAATATTAAAACGGAGCAGCGCAATCCGCAGGTCCCCGAGAAGAAGTGACCCGAACCACTCTCTGTTGCTGTCCATCTCCCTCTCCTCATGTCCTGGTGGATGCTGCAAGCTTTTTCCTCCTCCACAACCGGTTCCCTGCACTCCTCTTAGAAAGCAGAAGCAAACTCTGCCACCAGCGTCTCTCCCATTCGCTGCCACAGCGGAGCTGAACACCGACAGGTAATATTCATCTTTTCACTTCATTTTCACCCGCGCTACTAAAAAATCCACCCCCAAATTCCAGACCCGTTTTGAGTTCCGTCAGCATTTCATTTACACTAAGCCGAAGCTCAAGCAGTGGTTTAATAAACCAACTGCTTTGCCGAGGAAAAGCAAAGGAAAAAAAACCAAACAGCCCCGCCTAGACAGAAATAGCGGGTTTTTACTGAGTGCCAGAAGTTCAGGTTCAGAACTAGGACGTGTCACACCACGGTCGTACCTGTATTGTGAGCGATTAAAGGCTGGTTTAAAGGTACCTTTTATTTGCTTTTACTGCTGCCTTTTCTCCAAACGCCACTCCATTTACCGGCAACAAGAATATCAATTGGAATTCCTAGTTAGATACTTTGAAAGTGAAAATTACTCTTTCTCGCCCCAGGAAATCCATAGTTACTACAAAAAAAAAAAAAAGCCACTGAGATTCCAAACAAATAAATGGGGCGGTGGGTTGTGTGCACCTCACTGAGTTTGTAGGTGACAGAAGGTGCCTGGCTGTGCTCTGCTGGGAGCCAGCTCTGCTGCCGGGGTTTTGCATTTACTGAGAGAGGAGAAAAGAAGATAAAGCAAGTGCCACTAACAGGGATCTTTGCACCGAAGAAGTGCTCTAATAACAGGTGTGGTTTCAGAAATCACCCCTGTGATTTTTCCCTGGTGTTCTGGCAACATCAAAAAGTCCAATTTTACCAACTCGGATAGCTGTGAAAATGGCAGCAATCGTATTTCCCTAGAAATGCAAAACTGCAGGGGGTGAGATTGAACGAAATATTTTGGGAAGCCTTCACTGAGTCATAAACCAGCTGAAAAGTTAAGTCTCCCAGGCAGGAGCAGAGATTGTCCTGCAGCAGCCCAGGAACAGGCAGCAAACAACATGGGATCGAGATGAGGTGTATAAATAGAAACAAATACAACAAGCACGGGAAAAATATGTGAAGAAATAGGGCACAAAATGTAGCTGTAGCAAGGATTCATACTGACCAGGCTAAGGATACAGCTGTGGGGAAAGAGCCCTCTCCCCTATTTCAGTGACACGGACGAGCAAAGCTCTTACACTTGACCTTTGTTTCTAAATCGCCCTCGGAAGAACGGCGGGGGCGGGGGCGCACTTTTTGAAAGGAGAAATACGAAAGAGTACAGGGAAGGGACAGAATTTAATCCGTGGCAGCAGCACCTAAAGCTGGCCCTGCATTTCTCCAGAGGAGTGCAAATTGGAAAGTATTCGAAGGTGAATTCAGCTCAGTGTAATAAATGCCTGCAGTTAAGCACACGAAAAGACTTTATTTCCAGTTTTCAGTGTGGGGAGATCAATTAAATCAATGCTTTATTCCATGGTGGGGTAAGAAATTAGCTTCGTAGGAAATGCCATTGCATTGTTCACCAGAAGAAAGAGTTAAACCAGCAGAAACCCACCGCTTTTTGGCTTTCAGGAGACAGAGAAGAGCCCCTTCCACGAAGGTACCACTGGGCAGCCAGAAGCAACCCGACATTATGATCTACTCACTAAAGTGCTGAAATCCCCTGGAAAAAAAAAAGCGAGGGGAGGAGAACTGCTGCGTTTATTTGTGAGGAGCGTGCATGGCGGGGTGGGGGGGCAGGGAAGGGAAAAACAAACGGGGAAAGGAAAGAAAAAAAGGAGAAGGAAGGGGGGAGAGAGAAGGAGAGAGAGAGAGAGAGAGAAAGCAAGATTTCTCAACAAGCCTCAGAAAAGCCTGCCCCACGGCACATGCATTCAAAATGTCGGTGCTCCCGGAGGGCTCTGCCGGGATCCCCCGGGAGGGGGGTGGGCAGGAGGTGCGGGGCAGGTC